AACAAATCACAAAGATCCATATTCAAACTGTTGTCTAATTAAAAATTCCAAAAGTAAAATTAAATTAGATATTATTAATATAGGGGTATCAACTGATAAAGAAATGAGTTACATGTATTTATATATGCATTGAAATATACTATTTTATGATTACTTTAACCAATTTATTTATATCAATAAAAAAAAAGAAAACAAATAAGTTGTCCATTAATTTGTAATTTCTATTCTAATCCATATAATTGAAAACATTAGACTAAAAGATTATATCATTCGTAAATCTATGTTATACAATTAACAAAATATTTTAATTGGTTCTTAATACGTGAAAATAGTGGCGTAGTCAGGAATTTTTGAGTCATCTTGAGGGTGTGGGTGTAAATGTGAGTTTTTTATCTTCATCGGTCCTAGCCACCTCACCCACCCACACCCTCGGTTTAAATGCCTTATGTTATATCACCACCACCCTCACATTCTTATTCTTATTTTATTAGACATTGATTAATCTTGATATGACAACAAATAATTTTCTACTTATGAAAAAAGATTTTTAAGAAAGAGAACGCTGCTTACAACATAAACACAAGAAAAACAACAGAAAAATCTTTAAAGTAAAGAGCAGAATTTATTTGCTGAGAGCAAATCAGTTGGCTGCTTTGGTTGATCTTGCTGATGAAATTTTACTTTTTCAGATTCACGATATTCCATTCGACGATTTTGGAACCATATCTGTAATATGAAAAAACAAATAAATGAATTTCTTCTAAAGAAAATACTAATTTTATATACTTGAATTCTTGGTTCAGATATATTGAATTCTAATGCAAGTTTTTCACGTTCAGATAGTTCGGGATAATGTTTAATATTAAAAACTAAATATAAATTATTGAATGTACTCATTTTTATTTTAATACTAAAAAAAATACCTTGTTCTAACCCATCATTTTGTTTTTGTGTAAACGATGTTTGATTTTGATGTTTATCTCCGGATTTTGAATCAAGATTTTTTAAAAGTGTATGTATTGATGATACCTGAAATAAGAAAATCATCAAGAATAGAAAAGTTTTCTTCAAAATAATGTATCAAATAACATACACTTGGAAGGTCTTCTAACTTGCAATTCATTTCTTCCGAAAGACAATCACGAACTTCCCATGCAAAGAGGGATGGATTTTCATGTTTATATTCCAATATTTTTCTTTTAATATCAGAGTCAATTACACAAGATTCTAAATAAAAATTGTAATTACTGGTGGTGATCGATTTAGTTTACTTACTTTTATCGGGTATAGATTGTGCATTATCGGTATCCATTGTATAGATAAATTAGGATAAGAAAAACAAAATAATATTATGAAAGTATAGATTAAAACAATTGAAATTTGAATAAAAACTAATATTTTCCTAATGAATAAACTGGAATGATTGTCTGTCTGTATTATTTGGTATGCTATTTATATACGGCTATAGTTCATCACTCCAAATATATTTTTTTCTATCGAATATACAACTATAGAGAGGTCAGCTTGCGATGAAGTTGCCTCTAAGTGACCTCGACATACAGACAGAGGTCAACCGGTCACATATAGGAAAACATGAATGGAGTATGTCAAACTGAAGATCAATGCTAGGTGAATAGTTCACCATATATATATAGAGGGCGTAATATAGGACAAGTCAACATAATGGAAACAGTAGATTTTCTTCTTTAGATATTTTTTAATAAAAATATTATTTTACTCTATCTTGAGAACACCACTTCAAAAATAAATATTTCAAAGCATCTTTTGTATACTTTTCACTGATATGTTTCCCAAAAACGAGTGTACTTGAGAATGTAGATGATGGATACGAGAATAATCTCACTTACACCTTCAGGATGATTAAGGTGATTTAATCCATCTTATATTAAAGTCATATGCATTTAAATTCATTGATTTTTATTTCTTTCAACACATAATTCTAGAATAGAAAGCGTGTCAGTCCGTCTTTTATATACATCAGCAACAATTTTCTCTTATTGAGTTTTCTTTTTAATATTTATCTTTGACCGTTTTGAAAAATCACGAATTAGAATATTCCAGCTTCAAAAACCTCTAAAAATACCTTTTTCTCAATACTCGATTTCTATTGGTTCTCACCCACCCAATGAACTTTCAGATCAAACAGACCTCATACTCGAGTTTCTTGACCCAAAAAACCCTCTGATGGAGTTTTACGACGTATTGCGTATTTTTTTTGTTGGGTGTTTTTTTGATCCCGTTGCAAGCAAACAAACAAATAATCGCATATTATTTGATATTATCCTCCCTACAGTCGAGGGAATAAAGAATGAAAACGTTTGAATCCAATCAACAAGACGGTGATTAACAAAATCAGTAATATAAATATTCTTGTTTTCATCTATAGGTTTATTTTAAATATAAGGTGAAAAAACAATAGCAATAACGATACACTAGAATTTACAACATTTACATAAAACTATATGAATACATTGAAAAAAAGTGACAAAATGTTATTTAATTTTGTTCTTCTACACAAGTGTTTTTTATTGCACATGAGTCTTCATAGGGCGAATCGCTATTGGTCGCATTTTGTATCTAACAGGTACTATTCGACAACGTAGAATTTTCTTCATTTTCGATTCCAATTGTGGTATTGAAGAGAAACACACAAAAGGAAATAATAAGCAAATAAAATATATGAGAAAACCAAACCGTTGCAGTAATGTGATTATGAAAGGTGTCGGAGCTACTATAACCCATATATAGGTAATTGCAAATGGTAGATTAAATAAAAGATAGAGAGATGCAATAGAAACAAGTTGAAAGATCATTAGTCGATATTTTCGCCAATTTATTGATCGTTGAAGACGACTTTTTGATCGATAAACTCGAAATAAAAGGGCACCATTACATATCAATACACATATCGTTGGAAGTAAGGTATGAATACTTGTTTGCCACATACCTAATAATGGATCCCTTGACTGACAACCATAATAACATATGTTATTGACAAAATCCACTTGTTGCTCACATGGAAAGAAAAAGCTGGAATAAATATAAAATATGAAAAGATAAATGGTGATAAGTATCGGTGGCATATAATGAAAACAAAACTTTTTCCATTTTACTTTCAATAGATCAATATGAAAAATGAGAAGATGTCGTTCAAATGATGCCCATGCAACTAAAAGATCCATCATATTAAAAGACAGAGTTTCAATAAATGATCTAGTTTTACATGATGCAAGAGTCCAATGAATAGTTGGTTTTAATGTGTGTGAATCTATTACCGTTGGAATCATAAAAGCAGTGATGATAAAGGAATAACATAATGTAAATAAAATAACATAATTATTTGGTGCCGAACGAAGAGCTTTATTGAAAAAAATAAGAATAAATACGATAAGATGCATGAGAATAGATGGAATATCAAAGGTTATTAATAGTATAAATGATATATCCCTGGAAATAAATTGAAATGGGCTCTCTGTTTCATTTTGTTTTAGAACATTTGTATTTTCAGACACATTCATTTTGCGAGTTTTGCTTCCAACTTAGAAAAATGACAGATAGACAAAAGTTTTGAAGGCATTAATTTATAACGTATAAAGAAGTCGTGACAACAAAAAAATCTAAAAAATCATGAAAACAAATTCTTTGATCTCAATTATATTTGTTAAGTATGTGAGAAATTGAGGATTAAGATGGTTGATATCTCTTTTTTATATCTGAATATTTTTGCATATGAATTTATTCAAGATCTGTACCATGATTTGAATAAATGAATGACATTGAGGTAAGAAGTAAGGTCATCACAGAGTAGCTATTTCCTGTTTCTCATTTTAATTTCACAGGAATTACGCTAATAGCTTTTTTTAGTAGAATATTAGTGAAAAAGAACCTATCCATGCATATAATATTAGGCTTCGCAAGCATATTATTTTTTTGGTCCAAAAAAAAGAATCCGAATATAACTACTATTATGGAAAAATCCTAATTTTCTAAGACAAACTTTTAGAACATTGTGTATGCATAATTCTATAGCAAGTTTTTCATTTCGATCAGTTTATTTCGAAAATTCATACCAAAATCTTTATAATTGTTTAAAATGCTCAATTACTTCAGTTTTAAAAATAGTTAACCTTGTATTGAAGGTGTAGATGTGAGTGATGGTGGCTAGTTGATGTTTTTCTGCTATATTCACACCGACACACCACCTTTAAGATGCAATCTCTGTATAATATAACAATACAAAGATTCTATTAAAAGAAAGTGTCTTATTAAAACAACACAGTCAGGCAAATTCTTTTTTTATTCTGTAAATAATTTAATGATGAACGGTTCATTAATTTCTTCGCACTTTTTTCTTCGACTAATTACTCGAGAAGAAGAAGAAGAAGAAGAGAAAATAGAATTTTATTCCATTAGATGATATTATAAAATATATGATATATATAATTTGATAAAAGTGTAGTTTTCTCATTTTATAACACATTATTTGAACTATTATTATATAAAATATATTTGGCAGTCGGTTAAGGAATTTAATTGAGTTTTGAATGCTATAAATAAACAAATTATTTCTCTATTTTTAATTGAAAGAACAAGAGAATTCAGAACAGTTTATGGTTATAGATTAAATTTTATATATGAAAAATATTTTCTTCTGCTAATAACAAAGTAAAATTTTGCCTATTTGAATAAGTTTAATCAATTTAAGAAGAAAAGAAATTTAGATTAAAGATGGGTGTGGGTGTAAATATCCATTCTTTCCACACCCACACCTACACTCACACCCTTGAACTATTTAAAGATATTGAGAAAATAGATATGGACAAACTGATTTCGTATCATTCATTCCTCTCGGACACTAACATTCATTCTCACCATCAAGATACTTCTTTCCTTTCAGTATTGGTATTAAACATGAAGTTTACAATATATCTACAAAAGCGGTTAATAAAGAATCGAATAGTGAGCTTTTTTAGTGAAAAAGTAGGAACTAGAAAAATGTTTCATCAATTCGAGATTTCTCGAAAACACAAAAAACTGATGTCAAGTTATTTATCTTTGAAAATTCGTCTTTGTTTTAATCGTTGTTAAATGTAAATAATTGTTAATCATCCTTTTCTAATACGACAACGGTATCCTTCACGTTCCTTCCAAGCGCAACCATCATAATCTTTAAATAAAGGATACCGATTTTTAATTTCATCGAAGGATTGTTGAGAACAATCGGGTCCTGAATATTTTATATAACAATCAACACTTTTTAGATTTGAACAGTGTGATAGAACAGCATTTAAAGCATGAAGTGCATCATTTAGATAGCCAGGATAACGCAGTGTAAGATTTGTACTTTCTAAATTGGGAAAACAGCGATATAAATCCTTGATTTCATTCATCTTCATCATTATCATATGGGGAGGATTACATTGACAGTAATTTGTTAAATTGAACTGTTTTAATACTAAACGTTGACAAATCAACGTTTTCCCATCAACTGTGCCTAGTCCGCAGGTAAAGTTTTCCAGATTTGGTAAATTATAAAGTAATGGATAGAGAATCGATTTATTGCAACAGGCAATCCACACCGTAGTCAAACTAGTTGACCATGTTTTGATTCCACCCGTACAGCTGCCATTGGCATACGGTAAAAATACATAGTTCAGTACTGGAAACTGATTACCAAATATCATTGTACAGAGCTTTTGAAACCCAGATGTTGAAGATTGCTGATAGATCGTTAGGCTTCTTAGATGAGGAAAATTTCGTGGTTGCAAAATTGCTAATTGAGGATGTCTGATTGTATAAACATTGTATGGTGAATTCCATCCAAATGTCAATTCCTCAATATTGCTACATTCGTTTAGGTCTGAATATCGATATCGTTCTTCACAGACATACAATGAGTGTATTTGTTTAGGACGAAGGTTGGGAAGAATATAACGTTTTTCTTCGTTGGTCAAGTCAGAAGGAAAATGGATATGTACTTCACCTATGATTCGGTTGAGACGTGCGTTTAAATTGTAAAAACTACGAAATAAATCTAATTGTTAGATGTACTGCCTCTCTTTAAGATGTTTATTCGTTGAATCGAG